CCCCGCCCCCGTCAGCCACGCACATCTTGAAGCAGCCACTCCGTCTGATACACCTGCCTGGGACTCCCGTACCTGGAATAGGTTGAGCAACTGGCCATCCTTCCTGTCGTCCAGGGTGGGTACGTGTGCGCGTTGGGGGCAGGGGGTTAAAGGAAATGCACAGAAAGTTACTACCATGTGGTTGGGCTGAAGGAAGGGGGAGCTGCTCTCATTGCGAGGATGTTACCGATAAAAACGACGGTGGTCATAGCAGTGAGGATAGAACCCCGGGTTTTCCTGGAGAGACCCCTGAAGCACCCTCCGTTTACCAAATCAATAAAGGTCTTACAAATCAGAGCAGGACACAGATGAGATCTCACTCCAGGAGCATGAAAACCAATTCTTTATGGCTACCCCCAGGGCCCGGGGCCCAGGTAGACGTAGAAAGGTGTCTGAGCGCAGGTCTGAATCAGTGGATATGTACTTAGCAGCTGCCGAGTCCCCTTGTAACTTGCGTGCTAAGCATCACCGATCTTTCCAAGGCCCCAAGAGGCTGGTCGTCTCATTAACCCCATTTCACAAATGAGGATGGTGAGACCCCAAGAAGTTCAGCAGCTTGTCCAGCGTGAGGGTGAGCTCTCCGTACATCAACGGCTAGCGGGGACACCTGTCAGGGACCGTGAAAACCTCCTGGAGGGAGGTAACCAGAGCCCAGGCTGGGGTGCTGCCGAAGGGCGAGGGGTGGTCGACAGGGCCGGCCAGCGATAGGCCAGTCTCTAAGCTGAGGGAGCCATGGCCACAGGGCACTGGGCAATTTCCAAATGTCATCAAATTGTCAGCATTTTCTTTTTGCAGTAGGTGTCCTTTTAAAATAGATCTGCCCAGTTTCTATCTTTCTTTTCTTACTTTCTTTTCTTACTCCTTGCCTGCACCCTCACTTAGAATCAGCATCTTTTGGTAGTTGGAAAATATGACAAAGCAGCAAATCGTATTAATGAACGCTCTGTTTTCAGACCTGCCCGTGGCCTTATTTCTGGCCTTTTTTACATGACTCTCCTGATTATCAGAGTGATCATTTCAGTTCACCGCAGGCTTATATCTCCTTCCCAACAGCGTTTATCCAGGAGGATTAAGACACGGGAGCCGGTGATAAACACCCGTCTGATACCTGGCATGTTCTCTGAAATGGGGACAAGAGAAAGTGCTAGTGTGGACAAACCACTGAGGCACGGCCTAGGGCATTTCGCCTTTTTGGGCTCTGCTCTCCATGAAGATGGCATTTCTCTGAGCACTTACAGAGATTACTCATCGAGAGAGACAGAGTGGGCTGGGATCCCACCTCGGAAATCCCTGGTGTGTGCCTTGCTGAGGTCCTGAGTTTCGAGACTCTCAGCCTTGCCACCGAGGACACTGAAATCATGGGATCTTGCCCGGAAAAGTCACTGCTCAGGGGCCACAAGCCCAGATACCTCCAGAGTCCAGGTAAGGAGGGAAGCCAGTAGAGCTAACATCGATGGGGTTCCTTCTGTGTCCAGGCCCTATTGGAAGCAAGCCCTGGACAGATGCTACCTCTCCGAGCCCTCCCAGCAGCCTCTGAATATCATGGTCCAGAAGCCCAAGGCTTCCAAGCCAAGGCCATCAGAGCCTTGCCACGTTAGGGTTCACAGGGCCTGCGATCTAACCAATAGGGGGTCTCACCAGAGTCAGCTGAATACAAAGACCCAATCCTGGGCGGGCAAACAGAATTTGATGGGGGGCGGGGGTGGGCTCACACAGGACTGCATTTGGCCTTTGAGCCGCCCACCTGCAACCCCAGTTATTAAAAAATTTTGTGTTCCTTAACACAGTTCTCAGTTTACAGATAAAAAGAGTAAGATGCAAGGGAGATTTTCTTCCTCGGAATCCTACTCTCTGATTTTAAGGTGACGCGCCCTTCCTTCCCCCCCGCTATGTGTCACCTGCAGAATGCCAGCTTTGAAGCGCAAGCAGGGACCCGCTCCCTGCGCCACTCGGTCCCCCAGCAAGTGTGATGTCACGCGACAACAGAGGCAGCTTTTAACCCTGGGCTGTCCCAGCCCTTCACAAGCTCTGGATTTTTAACTTAACAAATTGTATGCTCAACCAGTTCTGTCAAGGCAGACCCTAAAAAGGATCATCCAAAGGGGAGGGTCTCCACACAGGGACCTGTTAGCAAAGGGGCCTCGCAGGGGCACAAGGAAGGGCTGGGACTAAAGCTGGGAGGGTGTGGGGGTCACAGAACAGGGAACGCACCCAAAGCCGATTCTAACCACAGACCAAACAGCCCAAACGTCCTGGAGGGGCCAGCCAGCCACCGTGCTGTGCCCGGGGGCAGATCGCATGTGCTCTTTGAGGTGCTCCAATTTTAGCAATTGGTGCTGACTCATTATTAACCCAGAAAGCCCACACACTCAAATGACCCTACTGAAAAAGCTCCCTGTCATCCCCTGCTTACTGATGTGCAGTTTTTTTAAGCAAATTCAAAAAATGTTTATCACAAGGTATTTATGACATTTTAACCGTTTCATTTACAGTAACTAGAATGACATTTAAAAAAAAAAAAGTTTCCTGTAGTTTCCTTGACTGTAAGGCTCAGTCTCATCAGAATAGTAACAGGCTGAGAAACGCATA